CGGTAGGAAGAACCCAAATACTGATACAGCAGTCACAAAATTATGACTTGTCTCCTCCAAGATACAACAGCCCGACCACTTGTCGTATAGTTCAGGCCAACTTTGCACAAGATGGTGAACCCAAAGCTCCACCAAGAAAAACGCCCTTCTTTGGCTAGTAATCTGTCAAGTATAAAAAATAGTTGGTGAAGAAAAAAGTAGATGCGAGGAACTATTTATAGGCCACTAAGACCTTACAAATTACACCAAAAAATAATGACCATTAAACTAGAAAAAATGGAGAGTCTCTAAATATTAACTCACCACAAAGTTTATGAACTCCAATTAATCTTCATTCATGAACAAGGCAAAAGGTCACCAAAATAATGAATCTCCATTCATGAACAAGATGAGATTCATAAACAAGACAAAAGAAGACTCATGAACAAAATATATAAATAAATAAATAAAAGATATTAAAATGATTCAACAATCCCCCACTCATTTTAATATTAATAAAGACAAGAGAGATTACCAACCAAAGATAGACTATTGAACCTTCATTAGTAAAACAACAACCTCTATTCCAGAGTCAGTAGTGGTCTTAGATTTGAACTATGACTAATTAGGGGAAATAAAGTATTATTGCTCACACATAATAATCCAAGTGTTGACATGAGCTTTTAATATCAGCACATTACGGCGTTGTGCTTATCCCAGTTTTCATGAGTATATTTGAGAATAAGCCTTGTTCTCATAGAAAGCGGTCCTACTTTCATGCTAACAGAGGAGAAATCTGTCAAGGATGTTCCTGTAATTTATATACCCCACTCAACAAGAGCTACAGAATTTCATTAAGAGTATAAAAACTCAATCCTCCAACATTACAGGACAATTGCACATACATTATAGGGATGGACAACAAAATATTAAGGAGTGCATTTTTTACAACCACCATATGATTCGTTCTTTCCATTGAACCTTGTTACAAGATCTCTAGTCTCCAAGTTGGGTATCCTCATACATGGTTTATGATTTTATAGGGTTCAAACCCATCCCCCTCGATGTATTCCAGACCCTATCTCTCGTCGAGGCCGTGGTCATCGGATTTGCAAGATTATCATAGGATTTTACAGAATTCACAATTATGATGCCATTACTCAAATAGGATCTCACATTACTGTGTTTCCTTTGAATATGTCTGGATTTACCATTATAAAAATGATTGTTCACTCTACCAATAGTAGTAATGCTATCACAACGAATTAACACTGGAGGAATTGGTTTTTCCCAAAAAGGGATTTCATGTAACAAATCTCTCAACCAATTCGCTTCCTCACATGTTGAAGCTAGAACTATAAGCTCAGCTTCCATAGTAGAATTAGCAATTATAGTCTATTTTTTAGACTTTCAACATATAGCACCACCAACCAAGGTAAAAATAAAACCCGAGGTACAGAAAGAATCATCTGACAAAGTGTTCTAATCGGCATCACTATATCCCTTAAATACCACAGGATACTTGTTATAAAACAAATCATAATTTTTGGTACCAGATAAATATCTCAGAATTTTTCCCATGGCTAGCCAATAATCTCAACTTGGCTTGCAAGTAAACCTGTTAAGTACTCTAACAGCATATGCAATGTCAGGTCTAGTACAGTCAGTAACATATCTCAAACTGCCAATCATACTAGCATATTCTTTTTTATTAATCAATTTTTTTTCATTTGTTACAATAGATAAATGTATGTTTGCATTAAAAGGAGTAGCAACATGTTTACATTCTAGAAAGTTATATTTCTTTAAAATTTTCTCAACATAATGCGACTGATCAAGAAAAATGTCATCCTTAGTCTTGGTAATTTTAATTCCCAAAATAAAATTGGTTTCACCAAGATCTTTCATATCAAGGTGACTATTAAGCATACTTTTAGTCTCATTTATAATATGCAAATTAGAGCCAAAGATAAGTAGATCATCCACATATAGGCTAATAATCACATGTGCATTCTCACAAGTTTTATAATATATGCACTTATTACATTCATTAGTCTTATAGCCATTATCAAGTATGCAAGAATCAAATTTTTCATGCCACTGTTTAGGAGTTTGTTTTAAACCATAAAGGGATTTAGTTAGCTTACACACCTTGCTTTCTTGGCCAAGCTCCACAAAGCCCTCGGGTTGGTCTATGTAAATCTTTTCATCTAGATCTCGATTTAAAAATGCTGTTTTCACATCCATTTGATGAATTTTTAAATCATGAATTGCAGCCACTGCTATCAACAGTCTAATGGATGTAACTCTAGTAACCGGAGAAAAAATATCAAAGAAATCAAGATTAACTTGTTACTTAAAACCTTTAACGACAAGCCTCGCTTTTATATTTATCTATAGTTCCATCCGGTTTAAGTTTTTTATGAATGACCTATTTACACGCAATATTTTTACAACCTGAAGGTAAATCCACTAGCTTCTAAGTTTTATTTAAAAGTAGTGAATCTATCTTATCATTTACAGTCTCTCTCTAAAAAATAGCATCAAGTGATGATAAAACTTCTTGCACCGTAAGATGAATTTCTTCCACATTGTAAAGATAATAGTCAATGCCAAAATCTTTTTCAACTTTAGCTCATTTACTCCTCCTTGGTTGGCTTTGAGAATTTTCTTGTTCTTGAAAAACTTGAGAAGGAGTAGAAGAGCTAGGCACAGATAAAATATTTTCAGAAATTATTTGATCCCTACTATTTCTAGATTTGAAAGAAAATTTATTTTCAAGAAAAATAGCATTACCTGATTCAAAAATAATATTATTTTTCATATCAAAAAGTTTATAAGCTGTACTATGCAACGCATACCCAATAAAAAGCACAAGTGGTAGCTCATTCACTCAATTTAGGTTGTTTAGGATATGTAAGCCTCACAAAAGCTAAACAACTCCAAACCCTCAAATAACCTAGATTTGGTTTATGCCCCTGCCACAACTTATAAGGTATAATTTTAGTCTTTTTGTGTAGCACTCTATTTATCACATAGCAAGCTGTTAAAATAGTCTCACCCCAAAGATTTGAGGAAGCACATGAATCAATAAGCATAGCATTTGTCAAATCAATTAATATTCTATTTTTTCTTTCAGCTACGCCATTAGATGAATGTGAATATTGTGGAGTAGTTTCATGAATAATTCTCAATGACTGAACAAAAGAGTTGAATACAAGAGATTCATACTCCCAGCATCTATCACTTCTAATTCTCTTAATCTTTTTACCGAATTGATTTTTTACTTCAAGAAGGAATTTTTAAAATTTCTCAAAAGTAACACTTTTATTTTTTAATAAATATACGTTTGCATATTTTGAAAAATCATCAATAAAAGTGATAAAATATCGATTACCACCACGAGTTAAGATTCCTTCAAACTCACACAAATCAGTATGAAATAATTCTAGCAATTCGATATTTTTTTCAACACTTTTATCAGGCCTCTTGGTAATTTTTGCTTTACTGCAAATTTCACATTTCTCAAATTTTTTTTGTCACTTTAGGAATTAATCTTAAACTACTCATGATTCCCACATATTTACTGTTAATATGACACGAGCGAGTATGCTAAAAATTAATAGAAGACAAAGTGTAAGTAATGTCATAGTAATAATCATAAAATTAATCAGCAAGGGAATTTAAGAGATAAAAATGACATTTATACTTATCTGTATTGTAAGAAGGCACTTTTGCTTCATGTGCCTCGTAGTCTTTAGCATTCATCTCCTCAGTTGGGATTTTGTTTGGGTTGTTCTCGATAAGAACATAAGCAACTTTCAAAAGGTTGAGATAAAAAAGAATTTTTCATTTCCATCTTTTAAAATAAACTCCCTGGAACTTGAAAGGCTAGTTGAGATCTCTAATTTTATCATTGATTTTTTCTGGTACTTGTTTCATGGTTGATCTCCTTAAAATTATTGGTGAAAATACAAGAAAAAATTATATTTTATTGATAAATAATGCAAAGAAAATGAAATACAAATAGATCAGACTAAGGCATAGATATCTCGTTTTCTTTAAGGAGATCAAGTCCACTGCGATAGAAAGAACCCAAATACCAATGCAGCTGTCACTAAACTATGACTTGTCCCCTCCATGATAGAATACACTGCTGGAAAAAGGGACTTTAGAGGCGTTTAAAAAACGCCGCTATAGGTCCCAAAAACGCCGTCTAATCCTTTTGTGACGTTTAGTGCCAAATGCCGAAGATGCGGCCGTCGCTATAACTTTATGGCGCTTTAGAAACGTCACTAAAACGCCGCTAAAAGTTCTACTAAAGGGTAGCATGACATCACCATGCTATTTAGCGACGTTTTAAAATGACTGAGGCACGGAAATCTATCAGACTGAGGCACGGAAATCTCGTTTTCTTGAAGGAGATCAAGCCCACTGTGGTAGGAAGAACCCAAATACCGATGCAGTAGCCATAAAACTATGACTTGTCCCCTCCAGGATACAACAACCCAACCACTTATCGTATGATTCTGGCCAACTTTGCATAAGATGGTGAACCCAAAGCTCTACAAAAAAAAACACCATTCTTTGGCTAGTAATCTCTCAAGTATAAAAAATAGTTGGTGAGGAAAAGAGTAGATGAAATGAACCATTTATAGGCTACTAAGACCTTACAAATTACACTAAAAAATAATGACCATCAAACTAGAAAAAATGAAAAGTCTCCAAATATTAAACTCACCACTAAATTCATGAACTCTAATTAATCTTTATTCATAAATAAATAAGACAAAAGGTCACCAAAACAACGAATCTCCATTCATAAATAAGATGAAATTCATGAATAAAATAAAAAAAAAATTATAAACAAAATACATAAATAAATAAATAAAAAATATTAAAATCGTCCAAGTGTAATTTCGTCCACATCCATTCATTTAATGAAGTAGCAATGACGACCATGGGCAGGTGAAGAACCAAAAGCACCCAATAAATACAAGACCAACACTGACGAGGACTCTATAAGAAAGTGTACACTGCAGCTTACTAAACTTGCATGCAATTGCTCTCCTTCTCTGTGTTTCCATACTTACAGGTTTATATCTAGTTTATTATATAAAACACATAGCTCAAAATATATTTTTGAAATTATATCATGCGTTTTTTCATATTCGAATAACTCTTACATATGTAACTATCTAAAATTTTGATTCTTTCAGTTTTTTCCTTCCATTTACATTTAGATTGTTTCTTTCAACTGTCATTTTTGTACATGCATCGCATGATTATGTAACCTTTCTGGCATATATATTGAAGAAATGTTGGTTGATTGGAGGTACTTCCAATCAAACTTACTGCTATTTTTCTTGTAGGTTTCAAGGATTTGCAAGCATCTCTCATGGCTTCCCACAACTTGTTTGAGAGAGACATTAATCCGGTACTCCATTGTATTATTTTATTTATTTATTTATTTTATAAAAAACTTTGTTCATTTCAATGCTAATAATTTTTGGTAATATGTTTTTGCAAGTAATATGGTCATCGTTGTTGTCTTTGTTGAGATATAGAGTTTCTATAAAGTTTAAAATTGATAATATGAATGTTAAAAATACCTTTCCTTAATTTTAAATAATTAAAATTTTAAACTTATTTATGCTTAATAAATCTTAAGTTAATTTTACACTTGAACTTTGATACATATTTTAAAATAAAAAAATAAAATAAAATTATAAGTTGTTCTGTAAACAACACCAAACAATCTCAGGAGTTATAAAAACTGTAATGCATTTGTTTTTTGTCATTAAAATAAATGGAAAACTAACTAAGCACATGTGGTTTTAAATTATGATTAAAATAATTAGTATTCGCATTAGTTCAAAAATATACATAAAAATCATAATTAAAATGAAAATAATATGGGTGGGCAGCTCTTTAAAAGGTCTCAAGATCAACTCTAGGATAAGATGCGATTTGGTGGGGAGATTTTTGATGCCTTAAATGGGTTTGCCCAGCTCTTGCCATGGATTTCTCTATCCTAGGGTGGACAATATATCGAACGAAAACTTTTTGACATTTAAATAACAATTGTTTAATTTTTCAGTGGAAATTTTTTTATATATAAATTTAATTTATCTTGCTTTGCAAAATGCAAAATTACTAATTTTTCCCAAGAAAAATTTTCTAACATACTTTTACAATTTATAATATTTTTTCAATTGAAAAGAAAGGTTGATCTTATTTGAAGAAGGCTTCTAGCATGCCTTACTATTTTGAGGGCCAAACCAAAAAAATGGTCATTCATTAACATTCTAGCAAATGTGCCTTTTATTTATTTGATCCAGTGTGAGGGCTCAATAACTTCATTTTTTGGCGTAAAGAAATAACAAATTTTTTAAGGATCCTAAAAATGGAGGCCTTCTAAAATGCGGGGTCTTAGGTGATTGTTTAACCTGCATAATGGACGGGCCACCCCAGCTATCTTTAACACTATATATATTTGATTAAAATATATGAAAAAGGAAAAAAAAAATGTAGGTGAAATATAAATAAAATATAATTGTATTTTACACAGTTTTATACATTTTTTCTCTTTCTATTTTTAAATCACTTTCCAAATATTTCAATCAAATACAGTGCAAACATAGGCTAGATAATTACAGTGTAAAAAAAATAAAAATAAATACATAAATATAAATATCTCTCTTAATAATATATGCTTACTTAATATGCAACCACCCCCCAAAAAGAGAGAGAGAGAGAACAACAGAAATTTATGTTCGTATTGCCAAACAAACATAAACTTTGTATTTTTATTGATCAGGTGCTGTTTGCGGAGAACTCATATACGAGGAAGGTTACACTAAATAGACCACAAAAACTGAACAGCCTCACCTATGAAATGGTATATTTTTATTTTATTTTATTTTGGTATTATATGAAATGGTATGTTGACTTCCTTTGTGTAAAATAAATTGATGTATATTATTGATTACAAGATTGTTGTGTATTTTGATATTTTGTTATGTTTACAATGATCAAATATATAGAAGAGAAGAAGGTAGTAGGTGAAGTGGTAGGGGATGAAGTGGAGGTGGTAGTGGTAGGTTAGGTGAGGAGGTGAGTGTGTGTGGTAGGTAGTACTATTGCCATCCACTACCTTTTGTTTGCCATCCATTACCTTTTCTTTTCCACACATTCATCGAAGTGTTCAATTGAATACCCTCCCTATGGTGTAAAACCGCTCATGCACATCAAATCTGTCATTATAAAGATTATTTCACTCATATTACTCTGCTTGTATTTTTAATAGTTAATATGTGTTATGTTAACCATTAAAGTGAATACTATGTAACAAAGAAATCAATTAGCCATTCTGCAATCAATTGGAGAGGAGAGGCAAAAAAAAATTACCACTGTCCTGTTGTCTTTCCATCTATTGTTTATTAACAGTAATATTATATATGTGAAATTTTTTTCTGGAAATTTACTTAGAATTATTAATAGGTGGCCTAGATCCATTCAACACATGAATCTCACATTACACTAATTCTCAAAATAAGGATACAATTTTTTAGTTCATTTCATATCAAACAAAAGGTGATCCATACGTTTTAAGTACTAAAAACATGAAAAAATAATTCTAAGAAGTGATTAGAAAACAAATTGTATTATATTGATTTATATAATAAGATATTAGTTACACTTTTTTTTTTACCCAAAAAGTAAGAAAATCATAATTTTCTTTGGTTTATTTACACAATTTTCTATAAATTAATTAGTTCAGAAAATAAAGTGTGTGAACAAATTCATTATAAGTGTAACTAATACAACCTAAGGGTGGGTGGCATTATGGTTAAGACTTGGGGTTTAAGCCCTAAGGTCATGAGTTCAATTCTTTCTTCTTGAGCCAATCTCCTGGGTGAAATATAGTTGGTTAGGAGGTTGGACCTCAAGTTATCTAATCAGCACTCGCACTTGGTGTGGGTTCAATGCTCCCCCGCTGTGCGAGTCTTGACTTAAGCGGAGCTTGTCTTGGGAGGTCGGGACAAGTTCTCAGGTTGTAGTCTCTTCGCTCGGAACGGCTAACAGGACACTCTGGTGATCTCTGCAAAGGGTGTTGCCTTGGACCTGCGGGAAGGTAGGGAGGATTTTCCTGTAACAAAAAAAAAAGTGTAACTAATATCTTATTATATAAATCAATATAATACAATTTGTTTTCTAATCACTTCTTAGAATTATTTTTTCATGTTTTTAGTACTTAAAACGTATGGATCACCTTTTGTTTGATATGAAATGAACTAAAAAATTGTATCCTTATTTTGAGAATTAGTGTAATGTGAGATTCATGTGTTGAATGGATCTAGGCCACCTATTAATAATTCTAAGTAAATTTCCAGAAAAAAATTTCACATATATAATATTACTGTTAATAAACAATAGATGGAAAGACAACAGGACAGTGGTAATTTTTTTTTGCCTCTCCTCTCCAATTGATTGCAGAATGGCTAATTGATTTCTTTGTTAGATAGTATTCACTTTAATGGTTAACATAACACATATTAACTATTAAAAATACAAGCAGAGTAATATGAGTGAAATAATCTTTATAATGACAGATTTGATGTGCATGAGCGGTTTTACACCATAGGGAGGGTATTCAATTGAACACTTCGATTTTTTTTAATTTTTTTTTAAGTATATATATAGAAAAAAATATTGCATATAATTTTATTTCATACTTTTTTTCTCTTAAATACAAAGCAAATGAAACTCATATTCACCAATACATATGAAAATTTTCACTTTAAACACCTCGTGCACTCCATTGAATATCCAATTGGCCTAGTCAACTTTGTTGAACACTCAACCCATAATACTTTACCTCTATATATATCTAAAATAATATTTCACTATTATTATAAGAAAAAAATCTGGGTAACTGGAGATCAATATATAAATGATTGATTGGTTACATATATTAAAAATAATGTATTTTAATAATATTGATTACAAAATTATTATATAATGATTTTAAAATATAAAATCTTGTCAGGAACTTTAAAACTTCCTGTATATATATTTTTTGTTAGAACAATAGTAACCATCATGGTTGATGTGTATGTTTATGATTCTTCGGCAATCTAAAAAAAATAAAAAAAAAATTACTTAAAATTTTAAAAATACTCACTAAAAACAAAAAAAAATATAAAAATAATAAATTTAATTTTTTAAAAATTAAAATAAAATATAACAAATATGAACATATAATTATCTATATTTAAATATGTTAATTTTTTGATATTATACTCTCCTCAACGAGATGCTAAAAGCTATTTCAAAATAGATGATAAATGCTTTTTTCAAATTATAATGACAATTGACAGAAGTCAAATCCATTAAAAATCCCAAAACGTTTTCATTTTCGAGATCATGAAAACAAAATGTAGAACAATTATTTCCAAAAATGGGAACCAAACCGTTTTGGCAAATACTTCAAAATTTGATGCTTCAAAAGAAGCAAATCAAGCTTCAATGTGTTGTAGATCTGTGTCCGATGCAAATGGTGAATGGATATATTGGAATAAATCGCAGCCAAAATTGCTAATTCCAGATTTGATTAAAAGAAGCAAATCAATCCTTCAATTTTTTCCATTCTTCAAAAGAAACAAACAAATCAAGTGATATTATTAGAATGCAGATCTGATCTGAAGCAAAAAGCATCAAAAAACAATAATATATGCAACTTCTGATGCATAAACTGTTGAGTTTGATCTTCATGTTTCATAATAAAAAAAGAAAGTCAAAAAAATTATCTCAAAGTAGCATTTTTGTTTCATTTACATACAAAACTGGGTACAATTCATTCAGCTAAACAAAACTCTTTCCATTCTGAATTTATTCTTTCTGCAATTCCATTTTGGTGGTATATATATTGTAAAATAAATTGATGTATATTATTGATTACAAGATTGTTGTGTATATTGATATTTTGTTATGTTTACAATGATCAAATATATAGAAGAGAAGAAGGTAGTAGGTGAAGTGGTAGGGGATGAAGTGGAGGTGGTAGTGGTAGGTTAGGTGAGGAGGTGAGTGTGTGTGGTAGGTAGTAGTGGGTTAGGTTTAATGGGTTTAACACTTTGGTTTCATATTTATTTTAGTTTAATAGAAGGAAAATTTATCTATTTTTCTTTGGTTTTCAAGCATTTTCCTTTGGTTTCTTTATTTATTTTGCCACTAACCCCAAGTGATTGTCTACATTATACTTGTCGTCCAAAATTACGCAGAAGTTAATTTTATAAGTAGCTTGAGAAAAATTATAAGGGATCAAAAGTGAAAGAAAAAATATTATAAAAAACTAAAGTGAGAAAATCATGAAATATAAGAAAAAAAAAAGTATAATTTACTCTACCTGAAATAGTATTTGTACATGATATAATATGATATTAGCAGTTGGGCACACACGATGTGTGCGCAAATTAAAAAAATATTATTTTTAAAAAAAAAATATACATCACAAATTTATTAAAAAAATAAATAAAGAACATTTATAATTTTGATATAAACAAAATAAAATAATAATTCTTAAAAAAATAGTACTCTTTTTAAAAATTATAAATTCAAAATTCTTAGAATATTTATAGTCAAATAAATTTGATATACACAAAAATATATATATATAAACAATTACGTTGATTTTTTTTTATATAAACCAAGTAAAATGCTAATCAATATTTTCCCCTAAGAATTTGATAATATAATGAAACTTTTCCATCTTTTATTTTTTATTTTTTAATGAAGAATTTAAAAAATGTAATTAAATTAGTACACACAAAATACAAAAATACAAACCCATTAAAACCATTACAATCAAAGAGATTTATAAAAAAAAAAAAAATTAAAATAACCTAGCCAAAACCAAAAAAAAAAAAAAACCTTAAAAGTAATGGACACCAAAGACAATAAATGGAAACACTGTATGAATTTGAAATTCATATAGAATTTCAAAATGTAGTGGTCATCTCTCAAAACCTATGTCACTAAGAAAAGTCCTAATAAACTGTTTGGTCACAGAGAAAACTTGGGATACGTATCTGTAATCAATGGAGGTTGAGCCTTCATGTTGGAGGTTCAAAGGGCGAGAGAAAACTCTGAGCAAGAAATGTGAGAACAAAGGGGAGAGAGAGAGAGAGAGAGAGAGAGAGGGGTAGTTTTTTTTTTTGGTAAACAGTATTGGGTAGTTGATTGAAAGTGGAAAAGGTAGGATGTGGTTCTTTTTCTCTTTTTTTTTTTTTTATTTTTTATGGTCAAATCACTAAATTACATGTGGCAGTGCATGGCAGAGCTTTCGAGAGACTAAATTCTCACTTAATATAATAATATAGATAGAATAAATAATGTATATATAATTTTTTTTTATTTTATTTGTTATTTTTTTAATGAACATGATTAACAAAATGAAAATGTGATTTTTTTCTTAGTTCTAAACCGCTAATTAATGAACATAAAATCCTTGAGGTTTGAGAAATTATAAATTACCCCATGAGAGTCAAATTTTCATAACAAATTAGAAAAAATTAGGGGGGAATCTGTATGAAAATAAAAACCTCAGGGGGCAATTTGTTATGAAAATATAAACCTCAGGGGGTGGGATGTAATTTCTCAAACGTCAGGGGGGAATCTGTATTTTTACAAAACCTCGAGGGAGGTGTTTGTAATTTGCCCTTAACAAAATGAAAATGTGATTTTTTTCTTAGTTCTAAACCGCTAATTAATGAACATAAAAACATAAATAATAAATGAATACAATTTTTTTATTAAACATTTACAAAATTTATACTTTAAAAAAAAAAACAAATAAACACTAAGGGTGTGTTTGGTAATGCTTACATTTTCAGTTTA